AAGATCAGGCGTTTGAGACCAGCCTGGCCAACATGAAAACCCATCTTTATTAAAAAAAAAAATACAAAAATGAGCCGGGTGTGGTGGTGGGCACCTGTAATCTTAGCTGCTTGGAAGGCGGAAGCAGGAAAATTACTTGACCTTGAGAGGCAGAGGGTGTAGTAAGCCAAGATTGCACTCCAGCCTTGGTGAGAAAGCGAGACTCTATCTTCCAAAAAAAGACAAAGAAGTAGCTGCTTTTACTTTGACTGGTAACAGGAAGCAAACATCTCTGCCCTCTGGAGCTCACAGGGCTTGCAGTGAGGTCAGCAGGGATGCGCTACAGAGGACGAACCCTCAGGAAATGCATGTGTGTAGGCCCTAGTACTTAGTGCAATGAGCAAGGCACACTTTACGGCTTTGAACTTTTAGCTTAAATCAGATTTGTTGGAAAACCCACCCAAGCCTCCCTGAATAATGGTGTCATAACAGTTGTAGCGCAGGAGCTTGGAGGCGCTAGCAGGAGCCCGCGGTGGTTGCTGCTGCATACTAAAAATGGACATAGGTCACTCTGTACCTCCCCAGACACATTCAGGGAACGTCCTATTGTTAAGACAGGATTGCAATGCAAAGTTCATGCCTTAGCAATCGAGGAGCTGCACGCGAGATTCTAAAACTCTGGTTTCTGTAGTGGTCGCCCAGGCAAGTTCCCAGGGGACTAAAACCAAGTCTACCAATCCCTTCTCTGCAATCTTAGCTTCCCTAAATGCTCTGGAAAGCAAGAGTAAGTTCGAAAATCATTTGGCAGTAAAAGCTGACCTGAATGGGCATGGGAGCAATGTGGTCTTCATTATCCCTCTGGACAGGAAGATCTATGTGTTCTTGCAGAAGCAGTAATTTGTCTCATTACAGTGCAGCCCCAGGCTCAGGGCCACATGTCACATATAGCTGTAAATGCACCAAATTACTTTATTACCTTTCTAAAGTTTGAAAAACAAACAAAACAAAACCCAAAAACCTCGGCCAGGTGTGGTGGATCACGCCTGAAATCCCAGCACTTTGGGAGGCCAAGGCAGGTGGATCACAAGGTCATGAGTTCGAGACCAGCTTGGCCAACATGGTGAAACCCCAACTCTATTAAAAATACAAAAAATTAGCCTGGCGTGGCGTAGTCCCAGCTACTCGGGAGGCTGAGGTGGGAGAATGGCTTGAACCCGGGAGGCGGAGGTTGCGGTGAGCTGAGATCGTACCACTGTGCTCCAGTCTGGGCGACAGAGCGAGACTCTGTCTTAAAAGAAAAAAAAAAAAAAAAAACCAAAGCAACCAACCAAACGAAAAAACTCCCAGCCTCCCACCACCACGCTGGGCTAATTTTTTGTATTTTTAGTAGAGATGGGGTTTCACCATGTTGACCAGAATGGTCTTGATCTCTTGACCTCGTGATCCGCCCGCCTTGGCCTCCCAAAGTGCTGGGATTATAGGCATGAACCACTGTGCCCAGAAAAAATAACTCTTAATTCACATCTGACCAAAGGTTTTGACTCAGGGCTTATCAATCTATATTTTTAAACCAGTGTTTCCCATACTTTAGGTGCCTAAGAATTACCTGGAAATCTTGTTATAATAGAGATTCTGAAGCCTTCTGCTGAAGTACAAAATCTATTTGTACTGATTCAGTCAGTACAAATCAGAATTAGAGCGGGGCCTAAGATTCTGTGTTCCTAATAATCTCCCAGTGATGCTGTTGGTCCAGGGACCACACTTTGAGTAGCAAGAGTCTAGGCAGCCCAATTTGGCACCAGGAGCCTGTTTGCTGCCTCAGCACAAAGTCCCAGCCTGACACTTGCTACGTTCCTGATCTGTGCTGGGACACGACAGTCGCGCTAGCGTCTGAATCCCTCCCAGGCTGTTCTGTGAGGGACTCTGCTGGGCAGTAGAAAATAAGCAAGTTTAGTCAGAGCCTTTAGTTGTAAACAGACAGTTTTTTCCAATCTCTGCTCTGGATATTTGGTTAACACTGGGTACTCAACTCACAAATGCTTTGAGAAGTTACAAAGGTGGTTTGAGTTGGAACAGTAAACATAAACCCCAACCAGGAGTCAGACATGTTTGACTTGTAGCTTCTGCCAGCAGCAAATGAATTTAAGAATATGCTGTAAACATTTTAAAATTGGGAGAGTTTACACCGAAGCCCAGAGTTCTAGATTGCCTTAGAAAACAAACAGAAGATTTAGCAATCCTGGGAGCCTCTTTCCAGCGCATTTATTTGTGAAGAATATTCTCAAGTTGTTTAAGATGCTAAGAAGGTGTATCTGGGTGGCAAGCTTCAATACCATGCTAAGTTCACCGCCGTGCACGACCTGACTGGTGCCTCACGCATGTGAGTGTGCAACCCCTGACCTGGAGGCTGACAGCCTTGCTTAAGGGGACAAATGATTAAACCCTTCTGAAGGGACTACAAGTCTTGGTTTCCTGGCATCTGGTTGCAGTTCTTAGCTACCGCTCAGGCAGAGGCCTGGAGCAGGATAAGCTCAGAAAAAAAATGCACATGGAATTCAAGAGAGGATCCCTGCTGTGTGTGAATCTGTATAGTCACAAGACTCCAAACCTCAGTTTCTTAATCTATAAAATGGGAACAGGCCGGGCGTGGTGGCTCTCGCCTGTAATCCAAGCACTTTGAAGGCCAAGGCGGGCAGATCACCTGAGATCGGGAGTTCAAGACCAGCCTGATCAACACGGTGAAACCCCATCTTTAAAAAATAAATAAGTAAATAAATAAAATGGGGACACACTTTATAATAAATTCTGATAATGCAAATCAAAGCATTTTAAAACTAGGGGTGCCCAGAAGGCACTGTTAATTTTTTTTTAAGTACCATTAAAGGCAATATTTAAAATTTTTTAATGTAATAAATCAGTGAAGAAATTTTTGGCTTTGAGAAGAGAAAGACTATATGATTTAGACAAGAGGTCAGTAACTATGGCCTGTGGGTCAAATCTGGACCACCACCAGCTTTGTTTTTTTCTTTTTTTTTTGAGACAAAGTCTCACTCTGTTGCCCAGGCTGGGGTATAGTGGCTCGATCTTAGCTCATTACAACCTCTGACTCCCAGGTTCAAGTGATTCTCCTGCTTCAGCCTCCCAAGTAGCTGGGATTACAGGCAAGTGCCACTCTGCCAGGCTAATTTTTGTATTTTTAGTAGAGACAGGGTTTCACCATGTTGGCCAGGCTGGTCTCGAACCCCTGACTTCAGGTGATCCACCCACCTTGGCCCTCCCAACAAAGCGCTAAGATTATAGACGAGAGAGCCACTGTGTCCGGCCACTACCAGTTTTTGTAAATAAAGTTTTACTGGAACACAGGCATGTTCATTCATTTCCACATTGCCTATGGCTTCTCTCAATGCTGCAGCAGAGTTGAGTGGCTGGATCAGAGGAGCATAGCTCAAGAGTCTGGTCCCTCACAGACAGAGCATGTCAATTGCTGATCTAGATAACATAACTAGAAATTGGGACTCAGGCAACAGGGAAATAAGGCTACTGTCCATTCTTCCATCCCAACAGTTTGCTCCCCTACTACACTGTCCAAGTTTCTCCTCTTCCAAGTTCACAGACACTTTTTTCAAGACCCACCCTAGGACACAACTTTCTCTGAAACGGCATTCCTTAAATTCCAACTTACTTGGTTATTCCCTCATCCTGTGTTCCTACAGTTACTACTACCTCAAGGTGCTGACTTTTTTTTTTGAATCCAGCATCTAAACGATTCTTTCTCTCCTGACGTCCACCTGAGGCAGGAAAATAGCAATTCGAACAAGGCTGCTTCCACTACCTGGACAGTGGTAAAGCACCTTATTTGGAATTACTTTTCAAACTTGCCACACTTTCTTGAAAACCTTAATAATGAGTCCTTACTTTTGGATTTGGGGAAATGGTCAGGAGTCGGTCAATCTGCTTTGTGAAAGGAAATGAGACTTGTTTTCTTGGGGGACTTAACTTAGCTCTGAAGGCAACACAGAAAGAAGCAAGCCAGGTGCAGTTTGAACAATGACAGTGTCGTCTGAAAGTCTGCCAACTTAACTTAGTTACAAGCACAAATAGACCAGATTTCAAATTTAGTTCATAAGTCAATTTTTTGGAACTAAATATTTTTTTCTCACTTATTGGTTGAAAACAGACAACAGTATCACTGAAAAGCTCCGTTTTCTACATAAACACGTGGTGCCACTGGGATTCTGTTCGTGAATCATGCAGCTGCTTTGAATTTCCCAACAAGACTGTCAATGCTCTAAGGCAAGGGGGACCCACCTTCTATCCCTGTGAGTCCACTGAGGATGTGTGTGTTCAATCTCAAGGATGAAGCTAAAAGACTCTGAAGAGTTCCCAGCCATCCTAAGCTGTGGCAGCCTCCCTTACACTTAGTACACAGGGTTTCATATCTACTCACGTTCTTACCGATTTCTCCTGGACCGCATGTTCACCATCCTGTATCCAGTATGGTGCCAGAGCCAGGATAATCCCTGACTATTCTCTCTTTCCAATACATAAGAACACCTATGTGTTCTAATAGCATTCTAACTCTGTACACAATGTGCTCCAACATCAAAGAGCTGTGATGTACAAAGGGTTAAGTCCACAGCCCCAGGAGAGGTTTGCAGAAAGCACGACCTGCAGAGGACGGTACCCTGACATGTTTATTTCCAGGTGACATTGTTCACAGGGAAATAATGAGAGTCTATAGGACAGAACCCGGCTTTTCCTGATTCAGTCTTCTGAGACTTGGTTTGTAATTTTGCCTGAAACGAATTTCTGGACCTTCTAACATGCCCAGTTTCACACCCAGGTGTAAGCCACTTGAAAGGCAATTAGATGATGCTGAGACTATCTGCTGTGTTGGGTTCTCCACGGTATGGGTCACCTTTTTTGGGCAGAGAGACCTTCTTGATTTGACTATTGGAGGAGGACTCTTGCCATTCTGCCTAGTGGGCACTGGACAAGACCCCCCCCCACGGCTTCCTTACCACTGTTGTCCAGGGCACCTGAGGAATCCTGGTGTAGGTCATTGTTATGTAGATGATGAGGAAGAAGACGGTGAGGACCCAGTAAAATACAGCTACAAACATGACCCAGCCAAATGCTGGGACCCGGAAGTACTCAGTTCCGGCGATAAGGGTCCATACCAGCAGCCCCAGAACCTGTGAAGCGATAGAAGCAGTGGAGAGAGGTGGGGAAAGAAGATAAGGAAAGAGGGACAAAGAAAAAAAAATTACACAGAATGTCAGTTACAACTTTCATGCACATACCCCCACCTTCCCCTGCCATGGCTTACAAATGTTAGAGGGTTTGCAAACTCATGTGCCTGCAAATGCCAGGAAGGTAACCATGGCAGGCCAGACAGGGACCACTAATGTCTTGTTTTAGGGGGTACTCTTAAAACTCAGCTCTATCTAGCTGATTGTTGTGGGCTGGTCTTTTCTTCTCCCCCCCAGGAGAACACAGAAACTCAAGCTTGTACATAATAATCTTGGTTTTAAATACTAGCACTAATCAGAAGTTTTAAAACACCAGTTGGTGAAAAACAACATCCATGGCTGGAATTTGCTCCCAGGCTGATAATTGTCAAGGAAACAAGGCTGCAGGTGCACTTAGAGGTGGTCCCTGGAGCTGATCTGCTCTCAAGGGATGAACCTCTGGGCATTCCCTGCTGTTCTCACAGATGGCCAGTGACATGTGGTCTGAGAGCTTTCGGAAGAGAGAATGAGCGATGGCCCAGTGCAGATGGAGACACTCAGCATTTTACAAGTGTGCATTTATCCCGGCAATAGTCACCCAACCCTTCCCCACTGCTGACGAGTACGACCATCCCCAAAGCCAGATTAACGCCACTCACTGACTCATGGAGGACTTCATCAAGCAAAACAAACTGACCTAAACTGTAGGTGTGCCGAGTCCTGGACAGAGGAAGCCTGGAACAAGGTATACACTCCCATTCTAGCACCACCCAGGTGGACCGCCACCCCAGGCCACAGCAGCAGGAGTCCAGGGAGGGCTCTCGCCCTGCAAGTCCCGGCTCGCCATGTGACTCAGGACAAAGAATTTCATTTCTGTTTTCACTTTCTTTGTGGTATATGAAACAAAATACTCTAATCACCAGGCTCGGAAGACAGATTTCATTCATATCACACAGGAGCGCCTACAATATGCCAGGCTTCCTGCTCTCGGGCCCCAAGGACGGTGGTATTCAAATTAAACAGATCCTGCTTGTGCAGAACTAAAGTCTAGTGGGGAGAAATATGTGAGCAATTACAACTGTGGCAACTGTTGGGTATGATAAGGGTCTGTGACGGGGGGAATAACCTTGCTGGCAGGCACAGGAAGCGTCGGGGAAATCCAGGCTAAAGAATAACCTTAAGGCTGAGTGAAAGCACTCGCGAGACAGAGGCGGGAAGGTAACACTGTCGGCAGAGAACACAGCGTGGGCAGAGGTCTGACGATGGGAAGGGCTCTGCTACCTTCTCGAACCTGTAAGAACGTATAGCAAGGTAGGATATTGGTGTAAAATGTTAAGAGTTGGAGACGGTCAGATGATACGAGCCCAGGAGGTCTAGGGATTTTGTGCTTTATCTGAAGGGCAGTGGGAGAGTTTTAAGCAGGAGAATGTTAAGATTAGGCTAGGTTTTTTTTTTTTTTTTATAAGGCCACTCTGGCTGTGGGTAGAGAATGGACACATGGAGGGGTAAGGGGGAGCAGTGTGAGAGACAAGTTCAGACTGTGCAATAACCCAAGCAGGAGAATATGAGTCTTCAAGACCAATATGGGGGCAGTGAATATCGAGGAGTGAGTGAATTTAAGACAAATGTCAGCAGATGGGACTTCAATGGATTAGATACTGGGTCAGAGGAGGAAAAGGGAGAGCATGAAATGGAAAGATCCCCAGCTCTCTAGAAAGATTTCTAAAGTAGATTAGGGTTTGACTGTTCTGTTGGGACGATGGAAGAGGAACAGGTTAAGGGAGTGTTGTTCATGAGTTGAATTTTCAACCTACGCAGTTTGAGGTAGTCGGAGACCTTCAAACAGGGTTTTGAAGAAGCGGATGTTGAAGAGAGAAGACTTAAGCCCTTCTTTAAGAAGGAAGACAGGCCGGGCATGGTGGCTTACGCCTGTAATCCCAGCACTTTGGGAGGCCGAGGCGGGTGGATCACGAGGTCAAGAGATCGAGACCATCCTGGTCAACATGGTGAAACCCCATCTCTACTAAAAGTACAAAAAATTAGCCGGGCATGGTGGCGTGTGCCTGTAATCCCAGCTACTCAGGAGGCTGAGGCAGGAGAATTGCCTGAACCCAGGAGGCGGAGGTTGCGGTGAGCCGAGATGGCGCCATTGCACTCCAGCCTGGGTAACAAGAGGGAAACTCCGTCTCAAAAAAAACGGAAGGAAGACTTCCCGTGATGACCTTGAAGCCATCAGACAGGTTTCCAAGAGGCATGTCAAACTGCTTCCCGGGAGGAGCACTTCCCTGGCATAGTTTGGGTGCCTGTGCTGGGGAGCAGCTAAGACTCTAAATGCTGTTTCTGCTCTTCAGAGTTGAGCATCAACATTCTTTTATCTGATTGATACTAGTATATGAATTCCAGAGACAAGATGCTTCATGGAGATGAAGCTTTTGTGGTTACATCGGTGACAACGACCCTTATTGAAAGTGAAGATACACAGAACGGAATGTAATTCCAGAAAGTGCTAAGCCTCATATGAATGAGGTTTCTGGGCCCGAATTGATCCTGACAGGTAATCTATACAAGTGTGTTTGACATTCTGTTGGATCGGTAAGACTGGTAATCGGAGTAATCTGACATGGCAGCATCGAAAACATTTCAGGCTTCTTGAGGGTCGGAGCGGCCCTTTGTGGATGATTCACATAGGAAACAGAGCGTGGAGAGGCGCTGCAGGTGTGTTGATGTTGTCTCTCTGTGGGATCACCAGGGCTTAAGAGTTTCCATCACAAGTCTGTGTCCAGCTAAACAGGCTCAACTCACAGCTCTTGGCTCTGAATGAAAAGACGTTTTTTATTATTAAAGCGAGTGAAGCCTGCTGTCCAGGGCTGCATTGTCTAGTTGGCTACCTGTGGTCGTCGTTTACACAAAGGCACGATATTGTTAACCGAGCTGCGTAGCAAAGAACAGGAGTACTTGACCCATGACCTCACCGGCAAACAGAGTAAAAAGAATGTCTCTGTCAGGAAAAGCATTGTTGTACCCAAGTGAATTTCCTAGGTAACTGAAATGTATCTAGAAGCAAACCTTTTTTCTCACATGATAACCAATGCTGATAAAAATCACTCTTCAAAATGTTATTCATCTTCTGCTTTGTGATTCAGATAAACCCGAATCTTTATTTGCTTAGACTACAAAAATACTGTTTGTTTTCCCTGATAAACATTTTTTTAGGCTAAGACTTTTTTTTTGGATGGCAAAACGAAGACTTTTAAAACATTTCAAAGTGATAAATGCAGGTGAAAAATGAACACAGAAATATACAAAGAAATGAGAATCCCCATCCCTATCCACCAGTGATAAAAATTCAAGAAAAACCAACGTAACCAATTTTGTATTTACCCTTTTTAGCCTCTTCCCTTGCATTTCTAACCACCTCCTGCACACCTTTTTCTTTCTCCCTTATAAATATGGATCGCTCTGTTCACAGGACCTAGAACTTGCTTCTTTCAGCAATACCATGGAGGACAGCCTTCCGCACTGCTCCACACCGATCCCTGCCAATTTTAACAGTTACTCAGTTTTCCATAATTCATGTAACCAGTCCCGTACTGATGGAAATTTAGGTGTCTTATGTTTGTACAAAAATGCCCAGAAACATTTTTATTACATATGCCTCTGCATACCTAAATTCCAGGACGGATTTCTAGGAGGAAAATTTCTAGAATACATATTTTAAGCTTTAGAAGTGCTACCAAATTGTTCGGCAAAAGCTTGTACTAATTTACTGACCAAGGATGGTGGCTCAGGCCTATAATCCCAGCATTTTGGGCAGCTGAGATGGGCGGATCACTTGACGCCAGGAGTTTGAGACCAGCCTGGCTAACATGGTGAAAACCCATCTCTCCTAAAAATACAAAAATTAGCTGGGCTTGGTGGTGTGTGCCTGTAACCTCAGCTACTAGGGAGGCTGAGGCAGGAGAATTGCTTGAACTGGGGAGGCGGAGGTTGCGGTGAGCTGAGATTACACCACTATGCTCCAGCCTGGGTGACAGAGCGAGACTGTCTCAAAAAACAAAAAAAAAACCAAATTTGTACTAATTTACTCTCTTATATCAGTATATGCCTGCTTTTCCACTGTCACCAGACTAAATTTTCATGTTTTAAATGGCTAAAAACCTGATTTAAAGAAAAACAGAACCCATGTTTTACCTTTCACTGCTGAATTGAAATACAGCACAAAGTTACAAATCCTAAGTGAACGGCTTGGGGGATTTTCATTAACGGAACAAACCTGCGTAACCAGCACCCAAATCAAGAAACAGAAAACTGCCAGCAGCTGCAAACCTTACCCCCCACTTCTAGTTACTCCTCTCCCCTAATGGTGACAATTGCCCTGATCTCTATCATTCTAGATTAGTTCCTGCTTTTGATCTCCATATAAATGGACCCTACAGTATTCAGTCGCACATCTGATGTCTCTTGCTCAATACTGTGAGAGAGCCATCCGCAACACCGAATGCAGTTCCTCTTTCTCCTGGTTGATTCTCATATTTGGCCATGAGAACACCTAGAGGGCTTGATGAAACAAGCCTGTGATTCAGGTCTAGGATGGGTCTGAGAATCTGCACTTCTAACAAGTTCTCAGGGGATACTGATGCTGCTGGCCCAGGGACTGCACATGGAGAACCGCTGATGAAGAGCATCTTGTTTCTACTTTAATTTGCATTTTTCTTCATCAATGTTGAGGATAGTAGAGCATTTTTTTGAATGCTTATCAACCACTTAGAGTTCTCCCCTTCTTGATTTTTTTTCCCCCGTGTGTGTGTGTGTGTGTGTGTGTGTATGTGTGTGTGTGTGTGTGTAAAAGTCTCACTCCATCACCCAGGCTGGAGTTCAGTGACGCGATCTTGGCTCATTGCAACCTCTACCTCCCAGGTTCAAGCGATTCTCATGCTGCAGCTCCCGAGTTACTGGAATTACAG